ACTGGAAACTTGAGTCTTATAAACGGCATCAAATTTAAGTGCTGTGGATATTCCTAATTAACACACACACCCACACACACACACACACACACATACATAGATGAATTGATGCTGTGCATGTGGCAATAAAAGCAATTTGCAAAATTAGAAAAAAGAACTAGACAATGCGCAAGTTGAGCATGCTTAGCTCCATATAGTTTTTCTGTGTTTGTGAGTGTGCATGTGTGTGTGTTCTTTGGCGTATTTCGAATGAGGACATTTTACTATTTACACAAAATTATTGTAGCAGCTACATGCTCAAGCGATTGTCTGCTTTTTATATGAGTGTCAGGGGAGTTTCTGAAGCTGCCGCCGTAACAGGGGGCGTATGCGCAACGTGTGTGTCGGCAGTGTGTGGAGCACTTTAAAGTTTGGCAACTGTCTGCTTAGCATCTGGCATTGAACGCTTCAGAACACACTTTAAAGTCCATTAGCGTCGAGTGGCTGGACAGGCAGTAGGGCGGCTACACTCGAATGTGTAACACGAGGCGTATGCGCAATTTGCAATTTGATTTGAGTCATGCTCTGGCCATGCAATTGCAGCTCAAACTGTCAATACATGTACACATATACATTCATGCACATACATATATGGGAGTATACACAGCTTTTCAGTTCACTTACAAAAGCACAAGATTTGTTTGTCGTCGCTATTGTTGTTTTTATTTGCATTGCTATTTTATTATTTCATTTTATTTCATTTTATTTTATTTTATTTTATATATCTTAAAGTCAGTGAAGCAAGGAGATTGTATTTTACATATATTTGGCGCTTTGTGTCAATCGTCTGACATCGAAATCTCATTCTTCTCTTGTCAACCAAAAATATAAACAAAATGGAGTTGCAAAAACTTGTCAAAAGTAAAAACCCATTCCGCAACCCTCTTAGAGCAGAGCAAAAAACATTTTCTTTTTTGTCTCCTATTTTATGGTTTCGAATGCTGTTTGCCTTTGCTGGCGCAAACAAGACGTAGCACTGGCAAAAAATATCCAAGAAATATAATATTGCTGCAAATTATCGCACTACATTGCTTATGGAAAGCTTTTACAGTTTTTGCGAAGGAGCTCCGACAAATAAATACATAATTTATTATTAAAGAGCGCAGTCGTATCCAAAGCAAAATATTTATCAATTTTTTTACAATGATTTGGCAATAATAATCCTGTTATGGTAGACTACAATTTTTTTAGCTTTTAATTGGAAAATGTAGAGCATAGACGAAAATGCAAAATAATTGTATTGTATTGTTTTATTTATTACTGTTTTTGCTTGCTAAACAAAATAAAACAAAAAATATTTTCAAATAATTCATTTTATATAAAATGTCTGAAATATAAAATGAATGGATATTATAAGTGAGAGGGATAAATATGAATATTTGACTAATTAAATGCTTGTATAGAACGACTTTCTCTGCTCAGGTGTATGTAATTGATATGCCAATAATTGGTTTAGTTTTTGTATGAACTAGACCTTTAAATCAGAATCAAATGTTTAAAGTTTTCTACATCAGTGGTTATATATATGTCGGCATTCATTTAGTGAGAATTGCACTACTACTACTGGCAATCAAACCGAAACATCTTACTCGTAAGCATTTCATCTCATTTTCATAAAGAATCATCTCATACTTGTTCAGTATCACACGGCACTACGTTAAGCAACACTTATCTATCTGTCTCTCTCTTTCTCTCTCTCTCAGGAAAATCATAAGTCATCAATCAGTTAAAATTATTCTACCTCTACTATAATTCTCAGCCTTACATCAATATTACTACAGCAACAGCTGAAGATTCCGCTGTAACACTCTGCTGTTAGAGCCTTCTGTTAGACTCTGCTGTTAAGCGCTGCTTTTAGACTCTGCTGGTCCACACTGTTAACAGACTCACACTCTGCTGTTAGAGCCTTCTGTTAAACTCTGCTGTTAAGCGCTGCTTTTAGACTCTGTTGGTCCACACTGTTGACAGACTCACTGAGGCTCTTACATTCTACTGTTAAGCTCTGCTGTTAGACTCTGCTGTTATACACTGTTATTGGGCACTGCTGTTATTCACTGCTGCTAAACACTGCTACACTCTGCTGTTAACTCGTATTATATATTAGCTACAGCACATATCACTTAGTCACTTAGAGAGTAACTCCTAATCGGCATTATCTGCTCAACGAGCAGCTTGTTGCTGTCATTAATATTTAATTGAAACTAATTACAGCTCCAACTCCTAAAAACGAAGGCCGCCACACTCCATATTTGATTTTCTCTTGTATATAATCAATTACATTCATTACCGATGACTCACACACTCTCACACTCCCTCACACACACACACACACACACACACACTTTTATGTGGTATCTAATTGAAACATTGTTATGGCTGTGGCAGTCAAGTTGAAGTACTTAAATAATACGCATATCGCATTTGGATTTGGAACAAGGCAATCGAATCAAGTTAATCCAATTTTATAGCGCCTGACAGCAGCTCAGTGTACGTGCGGGAGTGCGACTGTGTATGTGGCGGATCCTTTTGAATGTCGTTGGCGTTGGCGAGAAGACGAATATAATATATTTGGAATCCTGACTGTCATCGGGGTCGAGTCGCTAACAAATTTCCAACAATGAAAAAACAATGGAAACACAATTTGCCATTATGCCGGAAATCTTCGATAATTTCAAATAATCCACAAACACACACACACACACACACAGAGACAGAAAGAGAGAGAGAGCTAATGCTTGAATGGAAGTGCTGAATCAATGCTGGGCTCGCGGCAATGTCTCACACAATCAGCACCATAGACGAGCAACAACAACAATAGCAACAACAACGAGAACAACAAGCGGAAGCCAAGGACATAAAGTGTCTGCGGTTTTTGCGGGTCCGCGCAGGACTTGAGTGAATGAGCGACTGTAAAGGCGACGCGCTGCTTGCACTGGGTTAATGTCAGTGCGACATTAGAGGCGACCGAAGGGGGCGACTATAGAGTGGGAGGGGCAATAATGTTGCCTGGTTGTGTCAGCATTGGCATTGAGAGGCCAAGAGCAGCGGCTCACAAAGTAAGTAGAAAACTTTTGCGATTTCTTGAAAAACACACTCACTCATACACACACACACACACACACATACACAGAACTTTAACATTTACTGTCAATTGCTGTTGTTGTTGTTGCTGCTGCTGGAACAAAGTTACAAGCAGCATTTGAAACTTATCGCCGTCAAAGTCAAAGTCGCCGCAGCCGGTGCGTATGAGTAATTTTATGAACTCCACCTAAATGCAATTGTTGGCTCTGCGCTTTGGCTTGAGTCCAGCAATTTAGTGTAAATATTTTTATTAAATATTCATAACATACATTTTTTTTATTTAATTTTTGCATTTGAAACTGCGCAAGAAATTAGACTCGAGGTCTCTTATATTTTAGATGATATTTCGGTTGAACTTAATTATTTCATAATATAAAATATAGAAATTTAATTCAAATACAATATCGTAATATAGAATAAAATAAAAAAAATATAAATAAAATAAAATAAAACGCAAAGAGCAAATAATAAATCTCATGTCTTACATTCCGAAATCCTGTTTACCAATTGGACGGTCATAAGGAATCTGCGTCTCAGCACGCATAAGTTGGAACGACTTGTTGGATTTCGGCAAAGTGTGAAGGAATATTAGCTTGAAGATGTGCACATGACAAATCTGAAAACTTTTCCAGCCACTTGGTACAAATAAAGTTTTATTTAAATTTGTTTGCCACAAGAAACTTTTGCAGTCGCCCGCTGTAATGCTGCATATGAGTGTAAGTGTGCGTGTGTGTTTGTGTGTGTGGGTGTGACAGTATTTTTTTGGTGCGCCAAGTGCGGAAGAGGGAGATGAACTTGTGACTTGAGGCAACATTGTTTGATTGCGGCTTAGGCATTTCTTGTATGCCGCTGCACATTTTTGCCAGCTAATTGTGTGTGTCCTGGCCAAGTGGAAGGATGCGACAAGAAATGGCTAAGCCATTGCGCACACACTGCTAAAGAAATGCACAAGGAAGAAGAGAAGCGCGCATCCAGTCATAAATCACAATGGATACATGCATAAATTATGGCCTGGAGCTACGAGAGCTGCAGAGCTGGAGAACTGGAGTTGTGCTGCGCTTGCAAGAAATCAAATTGGACAAAAAAAAAGGGTTGGGAAAAGAAAACAGAGAAAGAGCGAGATAGAGAGAGAGAGGGAGGGAGAGTGAGGGGCAACGAGCAGAATGAAGCGATGTTTAAGGATTTAACGAGAAAAAATTGCTGTCACGCAGATGCTGGACGCATCGTTTTAATCAGTCGGGCGACAGCCACAACCTATCCCTGCCCCATACCCCCTCCCCGCTCAACTCCACCTGCTGCGCTTCACAGTTTGCCGCTTCAGCTTCAGTTGCGACGCGTAATATTTTGTCCGGAGCAAAGTCAACAGTCGGCACTTGGGATTGCGTGGCAGCAAGTAGACAAAGCCCGACAAGTAAGTGGAAGGATGATGGTGAGCGGGGGGGTGCTGGCTGTTTAACAAGAGGGGGGTGCGGTAAAATTTACATTGGCGCTGCAAAGTATGCAACGCATATTTTTATTCCACTTCTGTTTACCCAGTGCTCGGCTCAGTGGACCAAACATGCCCAATGCCACAGACCCACACCATTTTCGCATTTTCCCGATTCGCGCTTTATTTGCGCCCGACCGCAGCATATACAAAGAGGAATATATATACACTATGTACAACGCTATGCCTTGACTAATGCCAAAGGCGAATCATGTGTCCTGTCAAAGTCTATCGTTTAATTATTGGTTTTAATGTTAATATACTTTTATTTCATAATTTGTTTTAATGCCACAAACGATGTCAAAGGCTGAAAACATTTGCAATTAATTCATAATTGATTAATTTGTTTGCCAAGATTTAAATGCACGCTGAATTTGAATAAAAGTTGTCGATGGCATTGGACGGTCTCAAATGCAGGACTCGTTGAATTTGGGCAGCTTCTCGACCTGGACGCCAATGATGCGCAGCACCTGCTGGGAGGCGAAAATGCCCGCGCGAATGCAATAGTCGACCGGCATGTTCTGCACCAGCTGCGAGAGGTAGCCGCCCACAAAGGCGTCGCCGCAGCCGTTGGTGTCGATGACCGACTTCTTGTCGATGGGCGGCACCGGATACTGGAGCACCTTGTCGTTCTCCTGGAAGCAGAGCACCGGGCAGACGGCATCGGTGATCAGGATGATGCGCGGCCGACAGTTCTCCTTGGGCAGGGATTGCAGCCGACGCCCCACCTCGAAGATGTCCGTGGTGTTCCACTCGTGCATATTGGCGTAGGCCAAGGCCTCCTGCTTGTTGCCAATGACCATGTCGCAGTAGGGCAAGATCTCGTCCAGATGATTCCTGTGCGACTGCAGCACGAACACGGCGCTGAAATTGAGCACGAAGTAGCGGTTCGTCTCGCTCGAGAGCTTGGCGACGCGGAGCACGGTCTCCGGGGTGACGGCTATGAAAAAGCCGGTGGCATAGAAATACTTGGCATTTTCCAGGAGGCACGCATTCTCCTCGATATCCAGCCACTCCGTCGTGAAGAGCGCCGCGGCGCCGAGATTGGCCACCACGGATCGATCACCGCCCGACATGATGACGGCGCAGGTGCCCGTCGGCATTTCCTCCTTGATTTGGTAGCGCGTCTCGACGCCATCGGCTAGCGCTCGCTTGGCTATCGTGTCGCCAAACTTATCCCTGCCCACAGCCCCGAAGAAGGCCGCCCGAAAGGGCTTGCCCACGATCCACTGGAAGATGCGCATCGAGTTCTGGCAGGCGCCGCCCGCCGCGTACTGCACAAACTCCTGGTTCGTCAGCTCCTCGAAGAGGGGCATGTGGCTCTCATCGGCTATGATGGCCGCATTCGATTGTAGGTCATACTTCTCGATCAGCAGAGTGTCCTCCACGGTGGTGGTGATGTCCAGCAGCGGATTGCCGAAGCCAACGAGCACGCACTCCGGTAGATCCATTGGTTCCTTCGAGCCGCCCTTGATTGTTGCGTAAATGTCCTTCGAGGTCTTGCCAATGGCAGCTGTGCCCATCAAACTACTGCCCCCCTTGATGAGATAGCTGCTCCAGTGCTTGCCCTGCTTGGCTGCCGGTCCTCTACGCAATCCGCACAACACTAATTTATTCACGAAGTATCTGCGCAAACATCGCATTGTCCTACCTACTCTCAGCAACGAAACAATACTTGGCACATTTCCTTTTACGAAATCAGAAGCGGAAAGAAAACACAAATTTGGATCTACCGAGCGAGCTGCCAGCCCACAGACGATTGAAGTACTTCTAGCCCAGCATTGACGGCAAATACAAATGTTTAGTTTCGCCTTTTAAAAGCTAACTGGATAGAGGTTTATATTTACAAAAATATAATGAAATAATTGAATGGAGCTATAATTTTTTAGACATTATTTAATAATTCGCTCTTGAAAAACTGCATTGTATTATCTGCCTAGTTTACTTTATAGCTGAAGCTATCATTTATTAGATTTTCTTTGATAATTCCCTCCAATGGAACTGTTATATGGGGTATAAGATACCCTTTCTCTGAGTTGATTTTCCCAGTTTAATAAATATTTTTTATACATATATTATTTTATGCACATATATAGATTTTATTCCCCATTGCTACGTTTTCTGACTTGCTCTAACTTACTTAATTTATATATTTACACACATATGTATCCCTCACTAACATTCCCTACAGGGTATAGCCTAGTCGTGGCTGTGCTGTGCAGCGGCTTTAATTACCCGCATAAATCAATCATGTTATATTAATGGTCGGTCCATTTAATATGCTATTAATTACATTTGCATTTTGTCGTGCATTTTTATATGTAATTTAAGTGCCATTACGACGGGCACGTAGTCCAAGTGGGCGGGGCAGGGTGGGTTCTGCTGGTGGCTGGGTGTTTCTGGCTGTCGGCGAGGTGTGAGCAGTTTTATTTTCATTTGCTTAAGGGCGGCTGTGTGGAGTGGGTAGGTGGGTGGGCTAGGTATTGCTGGTGGGGCTGGGAATCGGACGTCATAATAAAAATGTACGTCTTGTCAGCTGGCAGCGCGTTGCGCTTGACGAGCTGAGGACGCAGTTGCGGCCACCCGGAACGTCCTTGCCACGAGTGGGGGCTGTTTGCCGGTTGGAACAATGGCATTTGCAGTGCTTTGCACAAGTTGCCTCGCAACAGCAACAGCAACAGCAGCAGCAGCCATACAGCAATGCAACTGAATGGAACAACAACAGCAACTGCAACAACAACAACAACAACAATGGCAATGGGAGTGGCAGCAGCAGCTAAAATAACAATAGCAACAAGCGTCGCTTATCGCCTGCAAGCGCCGCAAAGAATGCAAGCGGTTTTTCACTTTGCTGCTGCTTCACTTATGCAGATACCCTGTAACTAGTTAAGCACTTGAGATGAAGCAGGCCGTGCTCGCCTTGAGAAAGGTTTGAGCAGCAATAGGCTTAAGTGATAGAAAAATGTTGCTAAACATAATTTTGAATTTTTTTATTATAATTAAATTCGATTACATTTCATTTTTGTATAAATAAATTGTCATTTAAATATTACAAAATATTTAAAATATTAAAAAAATTAAATATTGAACATTATTTTTTATTTATAAAAAAAATAATAATAATAAAATGTACACAATAAATAAACAAAAACGTTAGCCAAAAATTTTATTACACAGAAATATAAATATATAAAAAAATAAAATTAAAAAAAAAAAAACATTGATAAAAATTAAAAAAATTGGTCAACAACTTAGTTACAAAGAAATATAAACTGATAAGAATAAAAATAAAAAATAAGAGAATATGGTTTAAGTCTCGAAAGGAATTCACTTCAGCCACATGGAAAAAAAAAGTTATTATCAGCTACAGCTAAATTTAAAAAAATTGTAAAAAATAAAAACCGTCTAAGCTAAACTCTTGCTACATTTGCATTCCAAGTCTGTTAGCTTAAGGAATTCACAGTTGATGAGAGATTTCCAGGATATGAGCGTGCTGTTAATACCTGTTCTTAGATTGTCGCTTCCTGGGTAAGCACTTGCTTATGTGCGAACATTATTCTTCGTCGTGTGCCTTTAGTAGACCGCAGCAGCAGAGGCGAAGGAGGTGGAGGAGGCGGAGCCACTGATGGAGGCAACAACAGTTGTTCGAGAAGCCCAGGATGGGGGCGGCTGATGCTGATCTGTAGCTGGAGCTCGACCGCAGCGGCAATGCAGCTGCATAATGTGGCATGTGGTTAGCATTAAAAATGATATGCAACATGAGCTGCAGTTGCAGCTGCAGCTGCGTGGGCGCGGGACTTGCGGGTGGCGGTTGCATTTTGAGGTGCCGGCAGTCAGTGACAGCCGCATGGCAATTATAATCCACACAAACAGACGCGAGCAGCCGCTGAGCCACTCACACCCACCGAAACACTGGCACGCACAGCCAGCCGAGCGTATGTGGCTTAAGTGTGTTAACTGTAGCTCAGGGTGTCAAGCGGGCGGGGCGGGATTTAGGGTCCGCACTGGGCGTCCGCAAGCAGCAGCAGCAGCAGCTGCCACTGGCACACAATGAACACATCAACATGACACTGTCGGCCTGACAAAAGCTTAGCAGCCAGCTGAGTGCCAGTCAGCCCCAAGCCAAAAAAAAAGAAATACTGAAAAAAATACAGGAAAAAGTAAAAAAAAACCGAAAAGTAAAAATGAAAACAAGACACCAAGTCCATTCGCATATGTATGTGCAGCACATGACTTCAGCTCCCTCAGCCACCTACTGGAAGACATTCACACGCTTGACGCGTTTTTGATATCCGCTTCCGCTTACGCCTGCGCTGCTGCCTGGGCAACAGAGATTGTTAGGTAACAAGCTTTTTATGTGATTACCTTTACCTTCTGTTAGTTTTACTATAATTTGGCCTTTACTTTTAACGAGATTGTTGCCAGATTTTCATACACGACAGCATGAGTACATCCTCTGGAACTGAAGCTGAAGCTGAAACTGAAACTGAAGCTGAAGCTGAAACGTGCCGCATTCAAGCATAAAATGCAGGATGTTCCTGTCCACCACTGCTCGCACTCACCTTCACATTCACATGCCCATTCACATTCATTCGGATGAGCTGGAGTACTCGGATGCGTGTACGACTACATGTACTCGCATTTCCATTGTGCTGCATCTGCTGCTCACTTCCCCATAAGAGCACAATGCCAAAAGTACCCTAGTTATAACAATAAATGCGCAGGTTTCGGGCTTTCAAAAGGGATTAGGTTCGAGGATACAGTGACTGTACTTAGTATTTAACTAGGCCTTTACCTTGGCACAACCTCATCAAAATTTGCTGCAATTCTGTTTTCAGAACATTCGACGCCTCGTGCTTTATTGAAATATAAAATTCAAAAATTACATTATAGCGCCTATATGCTCTCTGGATTGCCAGGTTTTAAAAAGGCCTAGAAAACACAATTCTTAGCTTAAGATTTCATCGAAAATCGCATTTAACTTGCCGGCAACGTGGGATCCAAGGTGAATTTGGGTAGGAACAGACGGCATACCATAAGCACGATGCTTATCCCTATAGTGATTGTATTTACCGACCACCGAAAGACTTTCAGGTAATCTACCATGGCTTCCGGTGTTCTCTATGTCAATCGATTTCCACACAAAATTACAATTTTTATTTAGTGATTCCAATATGTCAGCTTTCTCTAGGGTCTCTTGATTTTACACTTAGTTTTGTTTGAAGTGCAATAATTAATATAGGGTGTTTATAGAGTAATCAATGTATCGAGTGAAATTCATTGAATTCCCTTGATGATCCCAGTAGGCTTATAAATTTCAAAAGCTGTCATTTGATTTCATTGAATTTCCTTTCGCTGCAAAGTCTCAATATTCATTTCGTCTTTTCACACTCGGGATGCCGTGACTGTCTAAATAAATATTTGAAAAATAAATAATTTAATAAATCAGGCTCGAAATTGAATATTTCTTTTTGTGCAAGCCTCGCGAATAGAACTTTGTTTTTTTGCATTTCTCAATTGAAATAGAGTTTGCTCGGTTTGGTTAATCATGTCGCACTACGCGCCGTTCATCAAGCCCTACATCGAGTACAATCAGTTCGGCTGGGGGCCCTGCGATGTGTCGGATATGGAGGTGCCCTATCAGCCCTTCTGCAAGAGCGACCGCTTGGGCAAGATCAGCGACTGGATGATGCCCGTGCAGGACCAGAAGTACACTAACAGGTACGCCTCGACCTTTGGCAGCAACAACAGCCAGTACGCGTACTTCCACGAGGACGACGACGCCACCTTTCACCTGGTGGATGGGGGCAATCCGCGTGCCATTAAGCCGTTTCAGCGCAATCGCTATCGCCCCAATCAGCGCAACAACGTGCGCATCCATGGCCGGAATGTGCGTGGCAATGCGCTGAGTGGTGTGGGTCAGAGTGGTGCCGGTGGCTCTGGCGGTGCCGGTGCGGGCAACAAGTACGGCAAGGGGCGCGACATGCGGCGCGGCTACATGGGCCGCCGCTTCATGCGCAACGCCCCGGTTCGCCTGCGCGAGAGCTCCGTGGTTGTGCGCTCCGACTGGGTCTCCATCGAGGAGATAGACTTCCCTCGGCTGCTCAAGCTCTCGCTGCCCAACATTAAGGACGGCGTCGACATCGTCACCTGCGGCGTCCTGGAGTACTACGACAAGCAGTGCGACCGCATCAACGTGAAGAACGAGCGGCCGCTGCAGAAGGTCGATCGCATCATCAATGTGCCGGGCACCATAGACGATCCGGTCATCCGGCGCCTCTCCAAGACAATGGGCAACGTGTTCGCCACGGACGACATCATCGCCACGCTGATGTGCTGCACGCGCTCCAACTACTCCTGGGACATTGTCATCGAGAAGCTGGGCACTAAGGTCTTTCTGGACAAGCGCGACAATGCGCAGTTCGATCTGCTGACGGTCAATGAGACGGCCCTGGAGCCGCCGCAGGACAGCGAGGGCTCCATCAATTCGCCGCAGAGCCTCTCCCTGGAGGCCACACTCATCAACCACAACTTCAGCCAGCAGGTGCTCAAGCTTGGCGACCAGGAGCCGAAGCACAAGTTCGAGGAGCCCAACCCCTTCGAGGAGCCCGGCGTGGAGCTGGCCTCCGTCGCCTATCGCTACAAGCAATGGCAGCTGGGCGACGACGTCGTCCTCATTGCTCGCTGCAAGCACAACGGCGTCATCAAGTCGCCCAGTGGCGAGCTGCAGTTCGTCTCCATCAAGGCGCTCAACGAGTGGGACTCGAAGGCAGCCAACAGCGTCGAGTGGCGCCAGAAGCTGGACAGCCAGCGCGGAGCCGTGCTCGCCTCGGAGCTACGCAACAATGCCTGCAAGCTGGCCAAGTGGACCGTGGAGGCGGTTCTCGCCGGCTCCGATCAGCTCAAGCTGGGCTATGTCTCGCGCGTGAATCGTAAGCCATCCGAGTCTCTCAATCCCATGTAGTCTATATATATATGATCTAAATTGCAGGCAACGATCATCTGCGCCACGTCATTCTGGGCCTGCAGCAGTTCAAGCCTCAGGAGTTCGCCACACAAATCAATCTGAACATGGACAATGCTTGGGGCGTGCTGCGCTGCCTGGTCGACATTGTGCTCAAGCAGCCGGATGGCAAATATCTGATCATGAAGGATCCCAACAAGCCCATGATACGCCTGTACGACATTCCCGAGAACGCGTTCGACTCCGAGGGCAACGACGATGAGGAGACTAGCGACGATAGACCTTTCCTTAAGGCCATGGGCAATCAAATTTAAAACTTGCTACGATTTAGCATATACGT